AAAGGGCAGCTGGGAAAAGATTGGCAAATTTAGTTTACTGAACTTCCTTCGGCTAAGAGAGCAGGCACACTTCTCTAACAACCCATAAAAGGTCACCTCAGACCTCATCCCAACCCTTTTTTCTTGCCCACGGAGTGCTGAGCCACAGAGAAGATAGGCCATATCTCCAGGCTCCTCTGTGTCTCCCCCTTAATGAGCTGTCTCCTCTCCTGTCATTGACTGTGACTCTGTGTAATTCATTGTAGAGGCTCAAGAACCTGACCTGTGGGCTCAGATCCACACCCCCTGGAGGTCCAGAAGGCCCTGGTTCCTCCCCGATGGACTTCTCCACGGGTTAACTTTATGTCCTCAAATGGTGCCTGCTAACTTTTCCTGGAACCAAGTGACAGGAAAAGGATGCCAGACAGTTCTTGTTTCTTTGACTTAACTTTGGGAGCCAGACCTTATATTTCTACAGTGTCTTAGAAGTCACACAGGTCAGCCAGTTCAGCATGGGAGGAGGAGGGTCCTGGTCATTTTCGGGGTCTAGCTGCCTTAGCAGCAATCCCCCATTTTCTTCTTTCTGCTAGCCATGCCCTTCTTTTCCACTCTGATCTCCCCAACTTCCTGTGCATGTGCCTGCTTGAAGGTCACGACTGTCTCTCTCCTCATCAGTTCTCCTCCGTTCTCTTTCCCAACCTTTTCACCTGTAGTCTGAACCATCCATTCCCTGCCAATCTTTTTTCTTCAGGTCTTGGAACCCCTTCCCCTCTTAATCCTACGTTTCTGGCTTTGTCCTTGACCTCAGCCTGTGATTTCTTTTCTTTGGCAGGGTACTTTGGAGTCCCTTGGATGTAGCTGGCAGCTTTCTTCTGCAGGATTACATGCTCTCCTTAAATCACGGCGTTTGGGGCAGGGGCGCAGATAGGCAATAAAGAGTACTAAATGTGTCATCGACTGCCAGACAGATGAGGAAAGCACCTCCCTGGACTTTAATTCACATCTGTCCAAACTCAAGACTTTTAAGGTAGTTGTAACTTCAGGCTTCAGAGTCAGGGCACACACAGGTTTTAAATGCCTGAGTTTTGATGCAGAGGTCTAAGCCTGGGAGCTCTCTGTGGTGAGTGTTCTTGCTGGTTGAAAGGAGGAAGAACAAAGTCCATGCGGAATATCACCAACATCTTGCGATTATAAACTGTCTGGCATGCTGATGTTTTATCTGATGGTGTCTCCTGGGTCTGCTGGTGGTGAAAGGCGTTCCAGATTTGTGAGGTGTGATGAAAGTGCTGCCTGATTGGCAGAGCTAAAACGTAACTCTCTGACCTCCTGAACTTGGAGCCCTCTTTCTACAGCCGTGAAATGTAAACCCACAGTAGCTGCCGACCTTAGACATCGCTGCTTCTCCCTGGAGCTTTGGCTTTTCTGGTGTATTTAAAACTAAGTTAATAATTTTCAGAATAGGGAAGTGGCCACTCTGAGGTGCTTTTCATTTCCCCAGAAACACTGTGCGGTGACTTCATCTTTGAACATAATTGATTTTGTTAGACAGAAACAGAAACAAAGAGGCAGATTAAGTAGTTTTGAAGACTTTGGTGCCCTAACAAAATAAATCATGGCATTGAATACCAGATGCTGTTTGTACATGGTGGTTACTCAGTTAGTTTGGTGAGTTTGGGGATAGTTCAGCCTCCTGGGCTGCAACCCATTAGGGCAGATGAGGGTTCACTGTGCAAACCAGTGTGTCCAAGTTAGAACTTTATTCGAATGTGTTCGTGTTCAATGCTCCTTTGGTCGTGAACACAGGACACTGGAAGCCCTTCATGTTAGTAACATTAGAAGTAACTGGGCGAAGTTAGACTTGGAGGTTGCTGCAGTGACAACCACGACACCCTGGATCCTAGGGAGTATGAAGTTCACAGTGAAGGCATGTGGTACCTCCAGTCTCTTACTCAAAAGCAGTAAGCCTGAATTACTCGACGGGCTCGCTCATGGACAGGTCAGAGTTCTAGCTGATTTTGACTGACTGCAGTCTATGGAGGTGTGCTCAGAGATGGGTGGGTTCAAGTCGGCACATTCCACACAGCCGTCAAGCTAGCCACTGTCTTGCTTCTTATTTACATACACAGTGGATTCTGTTTATCAACATTAACAAGCTACATATCTCAAATGAAGTGTGGATGTGGGTGATTCTTTTAGTAGGGACAGGGAAATGCAAAAAAATATTTGCAAAAGAAATAGAACTTTTAATAGTCATTGCGGCTTCCTGTGTTTTCATTCCTCTTTGTCTGTGTATCTCCAGACCACAGGGAATATTATGCCTTCTATAAATGTTCCTATTCAACTACCGCCCTTCTGCAGAGCATAATGAAAAACCAGCTGTTATGGTCCTGGAGAGCCAGGCATCATGGTGACTTTAATCCTAAACTGAGTGATTAGAAGGTATATTTTAGTGAGATCTTGCACAAAGTGACTCCCTCTCCTAGCCCTTCCACATTGACTTCAGGCTTTCAGGCCCTGACATGGCAGAGGCAGGCTTCAAGGAGTGTTTTTAACTGGGCTGTATGTCTCCTCATAGGATTGTCAGTCATGGTCAGGATTACCAATGGCCGCGTCTCTTCATCTGCATCCTTTGGCACAGCACAGTGTGTCGCTGTAGATCCGACTGAACAGAGAAGAAAGAAAGGAAAAGTTTAGATATTTTATGTCCTAGGCTCTTCATCCATGCCACAGTAAAATTATCCTCTTTAGTATTATTTTTATGGCTTTCTTTAAAAAAAATGAAAGCCTTGTTTCCAAGTAGAGGAATATATTGAATAAGTATAATAATAACTCCTCCTAACTCAATACAGGGATTTTGAAAAGCTTTAGCACTTAAAAAAAAAAATGTCAATATGAGAGTTGAAAAATGGTTGCTGTCCTTTGCTAAAAAAGCTACAATAAGGGTGATTCATGGAAGGTTCTTTTGGATGCACAGGAATCTAGCTGGCTCATGGTGCTCTTCCTCCACAGGGTGCCTCTGCCTTTCACACTCACTGCTTTCCCTTCTGGCACTTTTCGTTTGTCAGAGAACTGGCTTCCGCCACCTGTTTTATTTCCTGTTTTCTTTCCATGCTTTTTCCTACCCCAGACTCACAGTACAGAGCAGGTTTTCAAGGAACTGGGATAGGAGAGGAGAGGGGCTTTCTAAAATAAACAGTAAGGAAGTTACTAAGGTCCACAGGAACTCAGTGGATAAACACTGCAGGATTTGCAAGTATGTTTGGAAGTAAATGTGGGCTTTAGGGAGTCCTGATCTCAATCAGGACATTCAGAAAGAAAGGGACTTAGCAGAATGTTACCGCTTGCAGGAAAGCTGAGCATGGCTGGTCCTAACATCCCAGAAGTAGTATGGGGACCTGTGTCCTGAGTTCTGAGCGCTGGAGACAGATGACAGGTGTCCATTCCTGACCCAGCCTCTTTCTGGGCAATGAGATTTAGACGTGTGGTGCACAGGTCCCTGTCCCTGTTACTTCTTAGGTTTTGGTGACCCAGCTTCCAGTCTGTTTGTTCAGAGTCCTGGGAGTAATCAGCAGGGCTACTTTTATTTATCTTTGAGATTTAACTGCAGAAAAATTTCATTCTTTATTCCACCAAGAGTGAGGGTGTTGGGAATGGCAGTGCATATTTGTAATCCCAGCACTTAGGAGGTTTACACAAGGGTCAGGAGTTCAGTGTGAACATGGGCTACATGTACAGCAAGACACCTGTCACAAACACATAGAACCGGGCTGATAGTAGCTTAAGTTGGATCTTTTATTTCTGTGGCAATTTTCAGTTTAGGAAGGATTTTATTGGCGAGGGAATCAGCTTGGAATGAAGGATTTAACAAATTAAAAAACTGTTTACTAGAGAATCCTTAGCTGTGTGTTAGGCATTTGGAGGGAAAGCACTCCTAACTGTGGTTGAATTAATGTGCCACATCAGTGACTTTGCTCAGTGGTTTTACAGGGGTGAGCTAACGTCAGTTCTCTCAAGTTCAGACTGGGGTCTGCTGCTTTGCCTTTTGAGAGCGAAAGTTAGACTTGGGAAGTTTAAGTAACAAATAAATAAAGGAAATTATTTGAGTTACAGTTGTACTGGCTAGGAAGGGGAGACAGCCTATGGCCTAGATGCCAGGCTGAAGATCTGGGCTTATTTTGTTGGGAAAAAAAGACCCATTGGAGTTCTTGGATCCCTTAAATTCTCAAGAGGCCAGGTGAACCTGGTTGGGGGTGATCTGACCCCGGGGATAGCTGTAGGGAACAAAGTATGTTTTGTTGTTTGTTTTCTATTTATTTATTTATTTTGGTTTTTCAAGTCAGGGTTTCTCTGTAGCTTTGGAGCTATTGTAGACCAGCCTGGCCTTGAGTTTACAGAGATCCACCTGCCTCTGCCTCCTGAGTGCTGGGATTAAAGGTGTGCCTGGTGTTTGCATTTGTTTCTAAGCCTCCTCTTAGTCTCCTCTTTGAATTTGCTTTTAAACATCTCAACTTTTAGATATTTTCTTGTACAGTGCTATCAATTCTGGAGCCACTTTCAATTTCAGTGCCAAAATATAAATAAAATAGGACAAGACAAATAAAAAGGTTAAATCCTGAGAATCTGATTGTTCACCAATTATGTTTTGTTGTTTGAACTGGCGGGAGATTTAATCTAACTATTAGAATTCTCTGTGGTGCTGACACTTACATTTGCACTAATTTTTGTGTCTGCTTAGCTGTGATATCGTAAAGCATGGCTTATTTTGTTGAAGTCAAAAGTAGCACAGTTAATTTTAAAAAGTAGTACAGTATGAATTTTTGTGATGTTAAATGTGAATTGAGACTGTATCTATGAAATAAAGTTATTAATGTGTTATTTTGTATAAAGGGAAAAAGGAAATTCTGTATCATTTCTGGTATCAGTCGACATTGCATAAATACCGTCTTATCACATAAGAACTAGGGAGCTAATGATTTGTAAGTGTATCCTCATAATCAATGGTTATTTTCTTCTTCTCGCAGATTTCTGCTCAGGGCAGATCATCTTCCAATGTGAACGGTGGACCTGAACTTGAACGCTGCATGAGCCCTGAAGGTGCTTCTCAATCTGATCAATACCTTTATAAAGGGAAATCATCTGCCTGAACCTGGTGGTCATCTTAATCCCACCTTGCCACATTCTTACTAAATAGGACACGATGTGTCCACCTGATAGCCCAGTTAGTTTTAGGTGTTGAGGGTGGAGTCACCTGAGGGCGTGTAGTGTCTCTTTGCTATAAACCACGTTATCCCTGTTTCAGATCTGAGACCTGGGCTCACTGTCTTGTGCTCTCAATTCCTAGGTATTTCTCCATTCTCTCAGTTAGATGAACACAAATATGTTCTGCTTTGCCTGGAAGTGGTCTGATCTTAACTCACAGCCTAGCACACTTTTTCTGAGAAGGCTTTGAGCCAGGAATTGGCCTCAACACAGTGTCTTACTTTGATAGGACTTCCTTTGCTAGAACCAAAGACTCTCAAGAGTACTCCTCAGGTAGAATCCAGCCTTCTCTTGCCTAAGGGAGGAGTTGTGAAGAGGTTAGGTTAGACTTCCCTAACTGGAATTTCAGGGTTTGCTAGGCTGCTTATTCATTGTAACCAACAAGGTCAAAAGGAAACTGGTGACTCAGGCATTCTATTTAGGAAACATGCTGAGGAATTTTCTTTAGTTTCGCTATAGACCTATAAATAATTGCATTGCCTTGCATTATTTCCCAAGTAAGTAGGAATCGATATGAGAGAAATTTCCTTCTGACTCTGTTTATCCTTGGTTGCAGGTGTGAATGGGAACAGGTGCTCTGAGTCCTTCACCCTTCTGGAGAAATACAGAATCGGGAAGGTCATTGGCGATGGCAACTTTGCAGTAGTTAAAGAGTGTATGGACAGGTGAGTGGCTGCGATTTGTTCCCCCAGAGATACAGTTTTCCCTCTGGAGTTTATTCTTAAATTACTGAATTGTTTTAGTTAGGGTTTCTATTGATGTGAAGATGACCACGGAAACTCTTATAAGGGAAGCATTTAAGCGAGGGGCCTCACAGTTTCAGAGGTTCAGTCCTTGATCGTCAAGGTGGAGAGCGTGACAGCATGCAGGCAGATGTGCTGCAGCTCAGCAGCACCTGACTGCATCCTGACTCAGAGGCAACGGGAAGACAACGGACTCACCGGGCAGTGTCCTGAGCACAAGCCACCTCAAAGCTCCCTATGAGTTTATAGGGAGTAACATTCAAACTAACACATGAAAGGCCTTTCTGGGAAATGTCTCTTTTCCCTTTCCTAAAATAATCTGCCCTTGGGATTAGTCTTTTGGTTGGTCCCAAGCAGTTTATTTGCAGTTATATACATAAAATTGTTTTGTATGCATGTGGTCTAAAGGATGCTCAGAACATTCAGAACTCACCCACCGCCTAGAGAAAAAGTGAGGAGGAAAATGAGCCACTGGAAGAAGAAAACCTTCTGTAAGGCCCACATCGGGCTTTGCTCCATGCACTGTGTTACTTCATCGGACCTCCACAGCAGTGCTGAACTAGACCCACAGCTCTGGATAAACAAGCCACGACTGAGAGATCAGAAGGAACCAATTCTGCTTGTTCTTGGCCTTCTAAAACAATATGAAAGTCATGGTGGATGCACAATGAACACTATCCTACGTGCTTCGAACGGCTGTTTTATAGTTATGGCAGGTTTTCTAGAAGGTCCTGATAATTGCAGTTAGTCCATCCTATTGGATCTTCAATGATGGTTTACTTTCCCTTATATATTGCTATGTAAGAAAACCCCTGTTTTTTGAAGCCTTTTACAGAGCTCTGGTGCACAGATTGCTCCCCAAGAAAACAATGAGGCATTTAAATGTACTTCCAAGGACCTGATAGAAATGTGGTTTATAACATGAGGGGAGGAATTTTTTTTTAAAGATTTATTTCTTATGTATACAGTGTTCTGTCTGTCTGTATCCTTGCTGGCCAGAAGAGGGCACCAGATCTCATTACAGATGGCTGTGAGCCACCATGTGGTTGCTGGGAATTGAACTCAGGTCCTCTGGAAGAGCAGTCAGTGCTCTTAACCTCTGAGCCATCTCTCCAGCCCAAGGGGAGGGATTTTTTTTTTACTTCTTTTCCAGGCTGGGCCTCATCCCTGTGTACTTTGGCAGAAAGATCTGCAGATGAGAAAGCGCATGTTTTCTGAATACTTTCTAAGAATACTGTGATCGCCTCTGTTAAACTGTTTATATTTGAGTAATTTTTTGGCCTGTTTAAATTTAAGTATGCTAATATCGAGTAACAAATAGTATTGGATTAAGATTTAAGATTTTTGTGTCAAGTAAATGATTTCTTCAGTGACAGGTGGGGTCTCATAGGGTGAGAATAATCTAGCGCCAGATCTTGCTGAAGGTGTTGAGTAAAAAGTAAGGACTAAAAGCGCAAAGACTGCAGTTTTCAACTGCAAATAATGAAAATAATGTAAAAGATTTAATTAGCCTGGCTTTGTTTTTTTCTTTTCTTTTTTGGGACTTCCTTCCTCCTCTGACCCCTCTCCATACTGTGTGTCTAAGAGTCAGAAGTGTCAGTGCTGGAGAGGGAGTTGGGAAGGAAGGTTTATTCTGATTTACAGTGCTAATGGTCCTCACTGTGATCATTCCTAGGTCCACTGGAAAAGAGTTTGCTTTAAAGATCATAGACAAGGCCAAATGCTGTGGAAAGGTACAGTATGTGCAACTGCTACGTAGAAAGAATGTGGGGGTTCACGGAGAGGGGGGTGTTTACGTGGGGACCTGAGGCCTTTGTGGAGGGAGATTTCCTATCAGTGACAGCAAGGGAAGGAATAGTGTTCACCCTGTTGTTCCCAGCAACTTTAACTCTCAGATGGTAAGTTTATTGATCTTGGTTATACCTATAAAAACATAAAATGCTCTTTTCTGGGAGATTCCTCATCTCAAATCCAGCAACATTTAAAAGGCTAGAACTGAGGGTCATTAAATGTTACCTACTTTCATGCTAAGAGTTGGCCTTCCAGCTTCAGGAAGCTGGCAGAAATCAAGGTTCCCATACCAGAGACAAAAGGCTCCCAGGTGCTGCCCAGGGCCCAGTCGGATGCTATGTTCATGGGCTTGTATTAGGCCAGAGGAGCCCCAAGCTTGAACACCTCTAGTCTTATGAGGCAGCTGCTATTGGCTAGAGGAAAACCTTGGTTTCCTTATCAAGGACAGGAATGGTCTGGCCTTGTCCCTTGTGCATGAAGTGACTCCTTCAGGCCCAAGAGCCCATTTCTCTCTGTCCTACTCTGAGACTGCGGTAGGAAGGATTGACTGATGATGGTAAATAGGCAGACGCTGCCAGCCTGTGGTGTTCCTCTGTGGTAGCCGGTCTCTTACAGGAAAAGACTGTGGCACTGTAGTCTAACACCAGGTGGAGCTGCTGACTGAAACAAGTCTGAAATAAGCTGTGGGCTCAAGTACACAATGGATTTTGAAGACTTAGTGCTTCTTAAAAAAATCAAAATATAAAAAGAAGTACCTCAATAATGTTTTTTTTCTGTGTTACTACATGGTAGACTATTGTAAATATAATGGACTGTTACACTTTTAAGTCAATTTTTCCTGTTTGTCATATTTCTTAGTGTGACCATTAGACACTTTAGAATTGTGTATTTGGATTGTAATCCTGTTGGAAAGTTACTCTAGGGCAGGAGTATATAAAGTCAATCCTGCCTTTATTTCCTGCAGTGTGACCCTTGACAAATGTTATAGTCATCTGTGTCTCTGTTTGTTCTTCCTCTGAATATGTTGACTGATAGTGTGTACGACACAAGGCAGTGGTTGGTGGGGTCGGGGAATGGAAAACACGTACAAAGCGCCAGTGTGTGTAGAAAGAACTGACATGTGTTACTGTCAACATTGTTAGCATGCCAGAAGACTTTGGAATTTATAATTGTAGGGTGATGTGGTAGTACTGACTTTACATTGTGAAACTGCTAAAACAAAGCAAAAACAAAACAACTCCTAGATCTAGTGGACATTTATGAAACTATGTAATATCAACCGAAAATTTAAAATAGGGTTAAGGAAGTTTTAGAAAAATCTACCTAGTAGACAGATTTTTCATTTATTATTTTCTCTTGTCATTGTCAACAAAGCAAAGGTGTAAGATGGCCCTTTTCTGCATGTTTACTCCTGTCTGATCTTAACGTGCTTTTGCATATCCTTTAAACACTTTAATGTTCATTTTCTTTGTCTGTGTGTATGTGTATATGTTGTGTTATGTGTTTTGTAAAGTGTTTATGTACATGTATGTGTGTGTATGTGTACATATCCCAAGGATAGCTTCCCTAAATCAGTCTTCTTCCATTATTTGGGTCTTGGGTTGGGCAGCAACCACTCTTACCCGCTGAGCCATCTCTTGCTGGCCCTTTTTGTTTACAATTCTAATGGTTTTATTAATTCTCAAATGTAGTTATCTCTATATGTGGCTGTTAGTCTTTCCATTTTTGAGGCAGTTAAGCACAGTGTGTCATGATATAGCCCCTGTTCTATAAGACTATTACATTTTCTTTAAAAATATTAAGGATAATGGTTAAGATGTAAGCAGCTATTTTCATTGTTAAAGATAATTGCATGCAAGAATTTAATCTGATACAGTGACTGCCTAGACACATGGGAATAGGCCACGTCTCATTAATGAATATGGTTCTATTTTTGTAGCTCATGATCTTATGTTTCTCTGAATTTTTTACATTTTACATATTTGACCAATAAATTCCATATCAACACTGTATAAAATTATAATTAAAAACTTTATGCTGCACATAAGTTGATTTTTTCCACTGTGAAATTATGTTTTTAATAAAATTAGCATAATATTTTTACAAAATTTTAGGGGATCTTCTAGCCACTATTATGGGGAACATTGGTCTCCTCTGCTTTGTGAGTTTTAGGCGGAAAACTCGTATGTTGAAAATAATCATCAATTTGGGAATATAGGGACTTTTCATAGTCGTAACTCAAAACACTTAGACCAGCTGGGCAGAGGAGGAAGCAAAGATTTGTGTTAAATAGTTTCCTTGCAGATCAACAGAGGCAAAGTCCTGACTTGAATTTGGGTGCAGCCTGTACTTCGGCCAATCTGCCGTGCACCTCTGTGTCTCAATTAGGGAAATACCTCATTCATTCTTGTCTTCTGTTTCTTCTTCTAATATACATGAACATCATTAGATTAAATTATTCACTCACTTGAATCTTGGTGTGTGCCCTCTGTGTAAGACACAATGCTGGGAGTAGGTACCTCACCGCAGGAATAATAACAATTCTTCTGAGTAGGATGTGAGCACCAGGAACGCTTACAGAAGAGGGATTGACATACAGTGAGGATGCCACGGAGCGAGATGCATTTGGGGAGAATGGCGAGATGGCTCAGTGGGTTAAAGTGTCTCCCATGCAGCCGGAGGTCCTAAATTCAATGCCCAGAAGTCATGGAAAGGCAGGTCATGTAGCTCATGCAATCCCATGGGATCTGCAATTCCAGTGTTCTTAAAGAGGGATGGGAGCAGAGACAAGAGAGTCTCTGGAAGTTCATGGGCCAGCTAGCCTGGCATACAGAGCAGAGACCTTTCTCAAACAAGGTGAAGGTGACGATGGCCTGAAGTTGTCCTCTGACCCCTACATGAGTGCTGTGGCCTGTACACACCTTCTGCATCCACACATACATGCCCATCATATCGCTATACAGAAGAAACATTTGCTCTGGTCTTGCAATTGTGGCACGATTTCAGCCGGCCATGATGAAAGGAAAACCTGCCAGGTAGTCAGAAGGGACTGAACGAAGGCCCAGAGGCTCAGAGTGCACTGGGTTCCTGTAAGCAGATCTTTGAAGCCCTGCCTTGTGACTCGATTGACAGACGTGGAAGGCTTTGGTATCGTGTTAGGATTCATCCTCTTCTGTCCTAAGATCCCCTCATCCTAAATGAGCATTGGCTGAATCTCCATAGTAAAGAAGCCCTGAATTGTTCTCTCCTTACCTTATAGATGCTTTGCATTCATTATCTGCATATTATGAACCCAGATAGGACATAAACCCAAAAGTATATTATGCTAGTTTTGAGCTGTTCGAGTAAATCAACAGAAATTATCCTCTCACAGTTCTGGTGGCTAGAAATCAGGAATCTGAAACTTACTCTGGGGCTCCTGGGGAGAATGTGCTTCTGGCCTCTGAGCACGTTGTGGTGACTGACAGTCTTGGGCTTTTACTGCTGCTCCTACATCTGTGTGAATTCTCCTTCCTCTTTCTTAGAAGGCTGCTGTGACTCATCTGGGTTAATCCAGGGCTGTCTTTACATTTCTGAATGCCTTTTCCAAATACGGTTATATTTATAAAACCTGGGGATTAGGACTTGATGCATTTGAGTGACTACTGTTTTAATTCCTCTACAAACTCATATACCGGAAACCACACACAGTGATTTGAACACACTGTCTTCTTGGTATTGTCCTTGGTATGTTATCCTCATCAGTCTAGCTGTGAACTGTGAAGCCACTGGTGGGTGATGTTTGGAGTGCCTTTCTAACAATGCTGTTTGCTGGGAAGTGAGGTGCCTACCTCTAGGACGTTTAAGTTTAGGTACTCCAGACCAGCTCACAAACAGAAGACGGTAGCAGGAGAGCTATGGTTGTCTGAAGTGTGGAGGGAGGGTGGTGACAGCCCAGGAGCGCGTCACTTAGCTCAAGGGCAGGGGGAGGCTCCTCACAGGCAGATGAGTATTGTCAGCCTGGTTCACATGGTACTTGTGTTCTGTGCAGAGAGGGTTTGAAAAAAACATATTGTGGAGAACAGAGTCAAATCTGCTGTGGATTCCTCAGGCACTGGGGAGAGAAAATCGCATAGCTTTATATTAGTACTTTGTTTAGCTTTCCGTGGTAGGTTTAAAAGGATTGTTTCTTTATAGACAGGAATAGAAAGCCGTGGAGAAACAGAGGAACAGGTTCTACATCCCAGTAGAAATATTTACTCTGTGCTTAGATAGGACTGTTGTCAAGAACGGGCAATAAGTTAATATGGCTTATATAAGGATAACTTATATGGAGCATGTCCCAATACTCGCTCAGTGTTTGAACTTAACACTGCCACTAAGTAGCCTTCTAACACAGCTGAGAGAGGTTCCACAGTGGACTGTTTGAGTGCCTTTTGTTGAAAATAATAGTCATTTTGGGAAGGGGTCTCAGTATGTGATAGTGAATTTTAACTCCATACAAAGAGCTTCCTGACACTGCTGACATGGACTGCTGTACATTTATAAATTGGCGTCCTAAACCGCCCCTGAGCGTGAGTTTATAGACCCTCCTAACAGTGGAGAAAATGGGCAGGAGGAAATGGCAGGGTTGGGGATGGGAGCCAAGATTTATTTAGTTTTAAAACAAGCCTATTTTACTTTAGTGGTGGTAACTGCTCTTGTTTTCGCATGGTGTAGAGTGAGTCAAATTCCCACCATCTGAAACCTTCACTTGAGGGTGTAAAAAAGGTGTGGAGGGTCTTCTGTATCTTCCTTGTGTGACCTCTGTGGCTGCTTTCTGGGGTTGGGGTCCCAGAGTTCTTGCTGTTAATAGTAACTGCCCAGCCATGGCTTATTAGGATTTGAGACTTAGTACTTTTCCAAGGAGATTTGGAGTGTTGAGTCCTTCACCACCCAAAAAGCCTTTCCAGTCCTCTTCCATGGAAGGGGTGCAGAGTTTTTCTCCTCATATAAAGTTGGTGTGGCTCTTCATCGCCATCGAAGATATGGTGCTACTGTTTGTTCCTATCTTTTCAACAAAATAATTCCCTCACTTTTAAAGCTGTCATTTTCACTTTGAAAAGTTCCAGCTTTAAAATTTCACTCAGGGGTTCCCTTTTAAAAGTGGTGATGCCCAGTACAAGAGATGTGAACTTGGAGGCATGAATACTAGGCTTACCTCCCCAACTCTAAGGACTGAAATGTCAGAACGTTACACAAGAGCTTTGCTCCGTGCCTGGCAACTAGCGAGTCGTTTTCCGGTTGATTTTTCCATTTGGCATTTGCTATCCTTTGCCGACACATATCCCGCCCGTGACTTCTTGGATCGGCATAGTACATTCAGTGCTCAAGAATATCAACCCAGCATGTGCAGGAGTTTGCAGTAGATTTTGTTCTCTGCATGGCATTTGTTCATTTCTTATAATTTATTCCTCCAGCTATCGTCAGGAGGTATTTAAATTAGAGTAAAAACATAAACACATGTATGCACCAAAGATATAGGAAAACCAGAAATGGTGTCTGAAACTAGGTATAAAGTGCCAAGTCGGAACACCAGATCTGGCTCTGAGAGTCATGGTAAAGGGCAAATCCAGCAACCACATGCCAGAACACACACACACACACACACACACACACACTCCTACGTAGATGTGCATATGCATGCATAGGGATGATAAATGATGATCTGTCTTCTATATAGAAGTCTTATTTCAGCATTTAGAATGTTGAAGAGAGCAGTCTGCAAATTTTATTGAGCGTTTTCTAAATTCAAATGGATTTGTCATTGAAGTTTGTGAGGATCCACACGTGCAGCGTGTAGAACAGAATGGTCACTGTGTAACTTGTGGATAATTTCTTAATTCTGTAAGTGAGCATTTTACTACAGAGCAGTTCTCGTCGACATCACTCAGCTGAGCAACACTGAGGTAGTGTTTTCATGGCAGAGCCGGTTACAGTTAAAATGAGCTGTGTGGCCCAGTGCCTTCCAGATTTCTGAAATACGAAGTGTAAGGAACACCCATCTGGTGAATGACTTCATACCCACTCATAGAAGAAGAAAGCTTATTTTTCATGAATTTTAGCATAAAATTAAAATTTATTTGGGTCACAGCCAAACATTTTAACCTGAGAGCTTTTCTGCCAAATTTTCTAATATGCCTAGTTATTTTTGCATGGAATACTGAAATTAGAAAGTGGTTCTGGTCTTGCTGACTTTGAGAAGGCACAGTGCCGTGTGGACTCTGTCTTTAGTGTCATTGCTTAGAATGGAGTCATACACTGTATGTGTCAGTTCGGTAACAATGAGCCCTTCTGGGCACACTCAGATGGCAGTTTCTTAAGGGTCTTGGCAAAGAGATACCCATTAGTGGCCTGTCTCATCCCTGGGGGGACCAAGTAAGCAGGTTTGGTTGTCCTGTGTCAGGAGACATGCTACTGTTGGCGTCAGAAATGAAGACTATGGTCTAGTGCCCTTCAGGCTATGGTTCAAAGCTGAAGGTTCTGTTGTTTTTGATGTCTACCTCCATGTCCTTTGTTTGACAGGAACATCTGATTGAGAATGAAGTGTCAATACTGCGCCGAGTGAAACACCCCAACATCATCATGTTGGTTGAGGAGATGGAAACGCCAACTGAGCTCTTTCTAGTGATGGAACTCGTCAAAGTAAGAAGGCAGACAGGTTTCATTGGCGTCCATCTCAGGGCTTGAACTAGTCAGAAAGTATCCTACAGCCGACACATGGGTTTCACGGGTGGCCCTTCCTTCACCTACTCTAAACTGCTTTGACCCCCTTCTTATCTCACTGGACTGGACTGTTGACATTTCCTTACATCTCCGTTTCTGTCCTACAGGGTGGAGATCTCTTTGATGCAATTACTTCTTCAACCAAGTACACAGAGAGAGATGGCAGTGCCATGGTGTACAACCTGGCCAATGCCCTCAGGTACCTGCATGGCCACAGCATCGTACACAGAGACATCAAGCCTGAGAACCTTCTGGTGAGTTCAGAATCTCTGCTGTTTCGTTTTCAACTCAGGCTTCTGCCCTTTTAAAATGATCTCCATGTTGTGAAAACCATAACACATGAAAAATGACATTAGAGTGTAAGCCAGTATCACAGTAATGAACAGAACACTGGAGGGAAGCAAGAAAAATAAGCAAGTTCAAGCTGACTGAGTTTTGAATGCGCCCATAAAATCCTAATGTTTTCTTTTTGTATGTGCATTTTGTTTTCCAGACATTAGAAAATACATTTTCATTTATTTTTGATTCATGTTATGATAATGGAATATATGGCATAATTAATGTGTAAAGAGAAAATGTTTTGGATTTGTAAGTCCCATAGACTGGAGGTCATAATCCTTCTCTCCCTAACATCTTGACAGTGCCAAGCAGATACACTGTAAATGTGTGGAGTAATACCTGGTGGTGACTCTCGGTTACTCAGGTAGCCAGAAGTTGAATAAAAATCATTGTAACTAACCTCAGGCACCACACAAATGATGGTTAAAAGGGATATGTTGCAGTCACCTCAAGATCTGCACAGGATTTCCCATGGCTGAACCGCCGGCAGAAGCTGACTTCCTTTTTTCCTTTTAAAATTTAAAAATATTTATTTTTGCTAACCCAGACTGTCAAGTTCTCATTTGGTAATGCGATCTGCTCATATCTTGTTCATCTGGAAGACTAACTAGCCCTCCTCCTTCCCCTCCTCTCCCTTCCCGTCCCCTCCCTTGCCCTCTTTGAAGGAAACAGTTTATTTCCCATCATCTTTCCGTTTTGTTTAAGTTTCTGCAACAGAACAGCTATGACTGCTCAGTGGTTGTTCCTCCCCACTCAGTAGCTAGGCAGCAGGAGCTGCAAACAGTCCTCTGTGGTTGGCTGGCGCCCCAGTCCTCTGTGGAGACTTCTAGACAGGTGCAGAGGTACCTGCAGAGCAGTCTGCCACCTCGGGCTGCACAGCAGTGAGGTCAGGAGTTGGCACAGCCCATTTGTCTTGGCGCTCCTCTTAGTCACAACCTCTCAGCCGCTTCCTTCCTTCCCTTTCCAGCTCTTCAGGACTTCGGTCAGGCATGCCCTTGCCCAGATGCTCTTGGGAGGTAGTACCATTGTGGAGAACTCCCTGTACTGTCACCTAGCACCATAGTAGTTCCACGGAGCGGGCTCCTCTGTTGTGTGTGGCAGCAGCATCTCCATAGCGTGGGCATCTGCTACACAGAGCATGGCAGGAAGATGGCATGAGATTGTGAGAGAGGCCAGCAATCAGTTCCGGACTATGACTCCTCCAGGCTGCCTGGATCTGCTTAGCAAAGGACCCAGGCACGATGTAGCTAACAGTAGAAGCGCTCTGGTAGCAGCAGGAAATGCCAGCGCAGCCTGCCAGCTAGCTTTCCTGTGGGAGATGACTCTGATCTGCACAGGATTTCCCATGGCTGAACCGCCGGCAGAAGCTGTCCCTCTTTAGTTTAACATAACACCACCAGATTTCTTCTGTAGCCTTGCAGTGCTCCTGGAAAAACCAGGATTGCTGTTGTTGACATACACTCTCACTGCAAAGAATTTAAGAACATTTTCCTCATCCATTTCAGGACAGTTTTCCCTTTACAAGGAAAACTAGGAACAATGCTATATGGACCCCTCCCTGGTATCACAAAAAGGCAGAATTCTTTTCTTACTGGCTTCTGCCTTGAGGTCTTTACATAGGTTTACCACCCACAAAACCCTGATCTGAAATTAGGAAGCATTAAAAAATGTACTTTGAAAGTTAGGCATGGTGGCAAATATCTGTAATATAGTGAGTTTGAGGCCAGCCTGGACTGCCAAGTGAGATTCTGTCTCAAAAACAAAGGAGACTTTCTGTGTGCCAACATGTCACCAAGAGGAAAATTCCATACCATGAGGTGTCATTTCATACACAAAATAATGTAAAATACTGCATGAATTTATTATCTTCCAGCTATGTTTTTAAAGTATATGTAAAACATAAGTGAATTTTGTGGTTGGTGTTGGAGCCCATCCCCTAAATCCTCAGTAGGTTATACTCTAGGATCTGAGACATTGCTTCTGAGCGTTACTGTTTGAGATTGTGACGTGCAATATTTTCAAGGCTGATCCTGACCTCTGAATTCTGGCATTGAGATCACCCTGTCTTAGCTTCCTGAGAGGCTAGGACTGTAGGTGTGAGTACCGCCATCCTTGGTCCCAGACATTTGTGTGTGTCCAGGGTGCTAAGGATTTAACCCAAGGCCTGGCTTATGCTAGGAAGCACTCTATCACGGAGCTATACCGCCGCCACTCAGTCTCAAAATTCGAATACTGCCTCAAGTTATTCAGTGTGTGGATAATGTGTAACACTGATGTCTCCAACCTCTGTCTCAGAGATAATCAGGAAATCTAATTGGAGTTTTTCTTCTGCTCTATATGTGTTTTTTCTCCTAAATCTGCGTTGGGGCCTGGTGGTGCCCACAGGGGATGGCGATGGTTAGAGCTAATGGTTGGTGTAGCCAGGCTGTGGGGTCAGACTCCAGAAATGGTAGCATACACATGTCCGAGCAGCATGTGTGCCAGCATGGAAAACCAGATCACTTGGCATCGGCCCGAGGAGAAAGTGTCGTTGATGCACTAAAAGCAAATGCCCCGCATGTCTCTCGCTCTCTTCCTCTCTGAGAACTAATTCAGTTCTTAGGCAGCAGGGCATCTGACACCTGATTTGCACCCCGTTCTCTGGCAGCACTGTCATAACTTAGAGCCCTGCCAGGGCAGATGTATGGGTTGTGTGTCAGGGAGCATGGAGGTGGCCGTTAGTGCTGTGAGTTACAGCCCAGGGGTGCCCTGCCATAGTTAACTGTGGGAGACTAGTGATAAATTCAGGGTTTCCAGGAGTTCTGGGAACGGGAGAGAAGAGGTGTGGTTTCTCATAGTTGATGTCCGTCTAAATCATTGCGCTGGATCATTGCGCTGGCATTTTATTTAGAGAGCATAAGGGATTCACTTTGAATGCGGGACCTGTATTTCTCACATTTTTTAGCTTTGCACTCTGGCAGCCATTTGACAGAGCAGCTCTCAGTGTGAGCTGGGCCATTGAGCATGGCAGGGCTGGGGTTTCACAGTTGTTTAAATTCATTCAAACTCTGCACATGAGGCTGCCTGGGTTTTGGCATTGCTTACAGAACCCATTGCATGGTGGTTTAGTGTGAAGATGAGGGGTCCTGGCCGCAAAGCCTGCTTGGTAGCTTAAGCTGAGTTCCACCTGCCTCAGTTTCCTTGTCTGAAAAATGCAGGTAGCAGTTCTTTTTCTGTTTGGCCAGTGTGGTCCCCATTCCAAGTCTAATGGTGTGCTTGAGAGAATATTTAAATCTGCGAAGTTCCCGAGGCTATCAGTAACTGCCAGGAAGCTTTGGGATCTGGTATTCTTCATTTGTCTCTTTGTGACAGTCATTTCCCCTCCTTCTCTCCTTCCCTTCCAGGCCATGTGCAGGCTAGGCAAGCTCTCCACCTCTGAGCTCTGCCCCAGCTCTACAGTCAAATTCATAAAGCAGTGTCTCTCTGCCATATAGATACACAGTGCTGTTTAATTTTCCTTATAGAGTCAAAGAGAATCTCCTGCTAAGATGGAAAGGTTATTCATATTTTATGTATTTTCTTCTGCATTGGGAGGAGATGATTCAGATAAATCATTGTTATTTCCCACTTCTCTGTCCAAGTCATACTTTGTTTTCATGTTTAACCATGAGTACCACTTGTCCAGACAGCTCGGCAGATAGAGGCTACTCACTCCTTTTCTGTCTGTACGTGTCTGACTCTGAGTTCTGTGGGGGATGTGGAAATGTGGCTTCTGGGACTGTCTGACAACAGCCTCCCAGCACCCCTAGGCGTTTCTAAATGGAGTATTTAAAATAAACAACACAGTTTTATAAAAACAGCACCTAATGAGTTGTAAAAATAAAATAACAGTGACATTAGTGAAACTTTGACTCATGATATAGACATTTAGGAAATCATGCTTATAAGTATTCTTATCACTACAGTTTCTTAGGGAATTTGGTTCTAATGTTTGGGTTTCAGTAAATGCACCATAAATCCTAACTCCAATTATATTAGATTGTTCTCACTAATGTTTACATTAAACACTCTGGGTGGAAAGCTGTCCTATGTGGTGTGACTAAGAATCTCGACTCTGTGGCTTCAAGATAGATCATTTATATATTATAGTAATGTTTCTGCTGTGTTGTGGGGTTCACACAGAGGGATAAATACTTCAGAGGGGCTCAAAATCATCATGGTTACTCCTTTGACTCTCTAAAGTCATGAAGCTGTGCATGAGCGGTATGCCAACACGAAATATACCTCCATAGCATGGGAGAAACTGTTTGTCCCAAAGGAAGAAATGCTCTGTAGCAGAGGTAGCCAAGCAGGAAAGGGAGGTGGGCCATCAGGGGCCTTCAGAATGCCTGTAAGGCTTAGACACATGTCTGTTGATGACTACCTAAGCCAGTCCACTCAGTGGATGCTTCTGTTAACTGCTATGTTGAGGAAACAGCATTTTCTAAATATCTCCCCTTCCAGAGTTTATCGTGGTTGAAATGAAAGTCCAGTTCAGTAGTAAAACACGAGGAAAAACACATAGTCTAAAATATATAAGAATGAGACTTATATATTGATTTGGTCTGTGCAGTTATTTTTTGTTGAAATTTGGATCTTTCAAATGGACATATAAGAGACAGCATATACTGGCCTGTTTTGGATTATGCAGCCAATCCCAAGTTAACTATGTATATGCCCACTGACTTCCGAAACTGGCTACTTGTAATATTTCTAGGCTTTTATATCTTAAGGAAGGTTATCTTGACTATAAGGTAAATCTTTCTCAATTATGTGGCCATTGTAAACACATGGATATGTACAAAAGTATAAGAAATATCAAGAAGGAAGTTAAAGTAATTCAGTACTGCTCAAAGCGAGCCCTGTTAAGGCTGGGGAATTGGAGTTCATGTACAGTTCTAACTTTGAAAAACTATATAATATGATCAATAACTCTCATGGTAAATATTTATTACCATGAAAATTTATTACCATAAAATATTAGCTACATGTCATTTTATTATGAGTATGTACCATAATTTATTTAACTACCAGTTAGTTAGCCGATTGGTTGACTCTGTGTTTAAAAATTATAAATGCAGACATTAAGAGATATGTATAATGTTTGGGTCTTTCTGTTCCCTTTGAATAGATTTAGTTGTAGATTTATTGGGCAAAGTTCCTGTTTTTCTGTTCCTTTCGAATAGATTCTTAGTTGTAGGTTTATTGGGCAAAGTTCCTGTTTAGATTCATGCTGATTTCAATTCCAAAGTGCATTTTCATTTTAAGCTTCTGAGTTTTTTTCAAGTAATATTTATATTTTAGGTTCAGGGTTTATCTGTGGTAGGGCTACTGTTAGCATAACTAGACAACTGAGTTCAACCCTCACCACCAAACATAGGGCCAAAATAAAGCACATAATACTCCGATTTCACCAGCTTCCCAGAAGACAAGTCAGCAACCTCTGAAGAAACATGCAAGCCTCTTAAATAAATGCCCCTTCTTTGTCCACTCCAGGATTTTAAGAACGACATTAAGCACTAAATGCAGGTCAGTTCCTTTCCTTCTGGCTTTGGGGCCTTGTCTTGCCACATCAGCAGCCCTTAGTACCTGGCTGCTTCTGTAAGCAAGTGCAGGGTTTGTCAGAATCTGCAAAGACAGAAAATAGCATTGTTCCAATTTCACACAGTTGAATAAAAATCTCTGAAGAGTTATCTCGACCCTTTAAATCTATGATACTCTTACCAGAACTTTCTTCAGGTGTTACCTGCCTCGATCCTCTCACAGTTGTTGTAGGGGGGAAAAAAGTGATTGTTGGTTTGTTTTTGTTTCAGGTGTGCGAATATCCGGATGGGACCAAGTCTTTGAAACTGGGAGACTTTGGACTGGCAACAGTGGTTGAAGGCCCTTTGTACACAGTCTGTGGCACACCAACTTACGTGGCCCCAGAAATCATTGCTGAAACAGGGTGAGGACTTTGACATGAGTGACAAGGCACATAAGTTGTCCTTGCTGCTTTGCGCTCTGTGTGTCCTGTGAAGAGAGCCTGGGAAGCAGAGAGACGTGTGACATAAACCATGACCTTAATGTTAAAGAATAGCTTGTTCTTATCTGGCCAAGAGCCCTAGGCCTGTACTTCTGTCCTTTGGTCAGTGTTGGGGGTGGGGGACAGTGGTCACTGTGGTTAGATTGAGAGGAAACAGATGGCTTTTTCAGAGGACAGCTCCTATGTGACAGTAACAGACACCGTACCTCAGCAGATCTGCCATTACGTACTCTCCCTCACTGTTTTCCAGTTATGGCCTGAAGGTGGATGTTTGGGCAGCTGGCGTGATTACATACATACTTCTCTGTGGATTCCCACCATTCCGGAGGTAATTATATTTGAATTATAAATTCTTAGACACTTAACTCCTGGCAGAAAGGACTGTAAGCTTGTGAATAAAATTCACAAATAAAATTCACAGCTGAAAACGATATAAATACACCTTTTGCTTTTTATCTTAATTTGTAGCCTACTAATGCAAACTCATGTTTTTCCTTTGGTGTTTTGGGGTGTGTGTGTGTGTGTGTGTGTGTATGTGTAAATTGTGCTTGAAAACAGGGATCATGCCTACATACTCTGCCTCTGAGCTGTTCCTAGCCTGACCATATTTCAAATATGAGGTCTTTGCTTTGAGTGTGAACCTCTGAGTTATTTGGCTGCTCTTTATGAAGTCTATACCTAACACAGACTCTAGACTTTGCAGCTTCTCGTTATAAAGAAGGGGGCAATTAAAGATTTCTGAGTAGAAACCAGAATCACAGGTGTCCTTCTTTAAGTCCTTGGTGTAGGTATTTTACTTAATTTGAGAGCGGTGTTTTAAACTACTTGATTTTTTTATATAAAATTTCTAAAGCACTCAACTTGCCTCTTGCGAAACCAGAAACTCTTTATGGTAGTTCTAGTCACACACGTAGCATTTATTACCTGAGAAATAGAGTTACAGAAAGCCTCGGCATCAGCTGGCCTGGAAACAAACAGCTGACACTTGGGAACTACTTGCTGACCTGGTGGGAACAGAGGTGAATGCAGGCATGCTTCAGGCTGGCTAGCCCAGTCATCAGTCCAGGGCTGAGCCAGCCACATTGGCTGCAGCTCTTTCGATCTGTTTCAGCACCTGCTTGGGCAGGTTCGGGCTTTGAAGCAGAGCTACATCTGCTAGTGCAGGGTTGTTTTTCTGCCCTTCATTTGTGCCCTCCCCTCACTCCGTCTGGTGAGTAGCTACCTCCGGTGAGCCAGGAAATGCACAAGCATCGTCCTTGATGCTGCTGCGGTTTAGTCCATTTCAGCTGCTGTAAGAAACTTCCGCAAACTATGTGGTTTACTAACAGTGGAAGCTTATTCTCACAGTGCTGGAGGCCAGGAGGTTCAAGACCAAAGCAGGCTTGGTGTCTGGCAAGGACCTACCTCCTGATCCATGTGCAGACATCTTTGTGCAAATTCACACAGCAGAAGGGAAAAGGTGACCTCTAGGAACTTCTTACTGTCTTACCTTTTTTGTAAATGATGTTGTGGTTTGAGTTCAAGGCTTCATGCTAGGCAAGCACTCTACCACTGAAGGATATCCTCTCTAGGGACCTTCACAGGAACACTACAGTTGTTTTCATGAAGGCTTCTGCCCTCACTACTCTGGCTGTGTCCCCAAAGCCCACCTCCTAATGCCGTCCAGGTGAGGATTAGGGTTCCCCATTAGGAGTTTTGAGGCATACGCCATAGAGTTTAAGTGTTGTATTGGATCAGCAAATGAAAATAGTTTATCCTATTTCTCCTAACATTTGTCAAGAAAACTTCCTGGAAAAAGAAAGTTTAGATTTTTTTTTCTTTAAATTCTCACATCTTCAGTTTGAGTTCGACAGTGCTTTAATTGATAATTGCTGTGAGCAGACCACACAGAAATGTTAGTCTACTCTTAAAGAGCTGGTATAGAGACGTGGAGCATAGAATAATGACCAAACCAAATGATTGGGTGTCTGTGGCTGATTCAGTGCTGGCTACGCATAGAATACATGGGAAGAAATTAACTAAAGGACCGCTATGTAAGGCAGAAATGAGGGGAGCTAGGCAAATGTAGAAGGATGGTGTGTTTTTGTTAACGTGTGATATCTGGACCAGTTAACATGGAGTTCCTCTTCATGATTCTTTTATTCAAGTTGATATCAAAGAAACGGGATTTGAGGGAATCAGAATTAGGGAACGTATGCTCACAACTCCCTCTAGTGTTTATAGTTTCTGATGCAGCCAGGGAGAGTTGTATCTTTATTGTTGTGAGAGTGGGTTCACAAAGACTGGTTTTCAGAGACATCCCAAAGTTTCCTGAGGAAGAATACACTAGAGCTGCTGACTAGAGCATCTGTAAAGTTGTTCCCAGATTCTTGAACATTCCCTCTTAGCCTTCACCTCACCCCGGTTCTCTCTGTCATTCTTTCATATCGGGTGCTGCTTGTGAAATAACTTACCTACATTATCATGGTGTCCTTTTTGAACCTTTTGTCATCTGTCACTGAAAGAGGGACTGCCTTCTTAATCGACTGTTCTACACTCGCAGCTCCTTCATCTATGGGATACAGCGTCTTAGAATAGAAAAGCAGCCCAAAGCAGCTTCACCAGACCTTGCGGTGCAAATGTAGTAATGAACCCCGTGTGGATTTGGACAGAGCAGCTGTTTGTACCTGACTACCACACATGACGGACTGTCTGCAGGGGCTGCTCCTCTACTGGGTACATCGCTCTGGTGGTTGATAGCATTGCTCCTCGGGCCAGATTCTAACTGTTTAGCACTCTACAGTCCTTTTTGCTGAGTTCAGCTGTATTGCTTGAGTCCTTGGACACTGTACATGGCTGTTGCAGATGGATTCCAGCTTTTAGCTCTGTATTGGCTAAATGGTCAAGTCAACATAAGCTACCCCAGGAAAAACCAGGGGAGGTGACTGGAATAATAGGAACAGTTTTGAGAGTAGGTTTTTTGTCTTCTTCCAACGCTGTCTGGTGTGCTCTATAACTGTAAAATCCCACTATGTTCCTCAGTGTGGTTTTCACTCATTTTATGGAGCCCTGAACTGATCGCAGCAGGGCAAAGGAGAGAGACCATTGTGTGTGTGCACTCACTTCCCCGGTGAGCAGTGATGACCTTTGGCCTTCAGTGTGAACCGGCAGGTGTCTCACAAGTGCTTCCCTTGACTATAACAGGCAGTCGTGCCATGAGACAGACCTAGCTATTGTTCTAGGTACCACCCTAAGTGATTTGTTTCTAAGGACTTCATGCTTTGTGCCCTTCGAGAAGGTGGAAACCCAAACCCTAAAAGCATGGCAGAGAAATTCTAAGAAATTTGCACTTTTTCCAGGTGATTCTGACTTGTCCTCCTGAATTTTAAATTTAATGTTAACAGCATATTCTAAGTTTTCTGTTGGGGCCTATGGTGAAGCAAGAAAGCTAAGCATGCTTCCTGTTTCTACTCCTGTCTTCACCACATGTGGGGACACCCCACATCCAAAATCCTTCCCTCCAGTGTGGTCACTGGCACCTTCCATCAACTGTTGAGTGCCAGCATTTATTAGACACCATGTGTTTGCGGAAGGGCCAAGCCGCACGGGTTGAAAGACCCCACTTGAGAACATCCAGGGTGCTTTGCCTTGACTGAGAAAGCCTAACTAGTGTCTCTGAATATGTTCTTTCTGAGACCGAGCACAAAGACAGTTGAATTGTGGTAGGGAACAAATTAATGTCATTTTTAAAACCTAGATTCTGAACTCCATCTGATTTTCAATAATCTTGGTGTTTTATTGAATAAGTGGAAAAAGAAAGGTTTAGTGGAGGCTGCTTTTTTACTGTTAGAGGCATGAGCAATGACAAAACTGCCATCTTTTTCCAAGGGTTTCCATTATTTGTAATTTCTGGTTGTATTGTAATATATATGCATGTATGGATGCATGTGTATAAAGATCTCCTTTATATACATACATATATATATATATCTTATGTGTGTAGAGGAGATATACAGTGTATACACACACACGCACGCACACACACACACACTAGTTTTTCTTCCGGAGATGAGCCCTGGCTATGCTACTTTGGTTGATTTTGAACCTCTGGGCTCAAGTGATAATATTGCTTCAGCTCTCCAAGTATCTGGTACTGCGGGGACATGCCCCAACACCTGGTTTTCATTTTAACCATTTATATGCACACTTTGTGGGGCATTGAGTACCATTTGCACCATCCGCTGCTGGAACTTTTCCGTCTTTTTAAACTGGAACTCGGCTTGGGTTCCCAGGCCTAGGAAGGGTCCTTTGGCTCGTTGTCTAGAAGGAAAAGTCTGCTGTCATCATGCAGCTATGATACACAGCTGAGCAATGAGACACCCAAGCCAAGTGCAACAGGACTTCTTCCTGTTGCTCAGACTCTTAGTGACCCTATTCTTTTTTCTATTTCCTTCTCACTAGTGAGAACAACCTCCAGGAAGATCTCTTCGACCAGATCTTGGCTGGGAAACTCGAGTTTCCAGCCCCCTACTGGGACAACATTACAGATTCCGCCAAGGTACTGTATAGGGCTCTTCCTGTGTACACTGCGGGGCCTTGCATGTGGAGCTGAGCAGCCCCAGCTCGGGGCTCCAGAAACTTGACTTTTAATGTGTGGTCTTTTTGTAAGTTTGATCTACAGTATATATAGTCTCTGAAGTCTCTAACTAGATTACTCTTCTAATCTCTATAAACATTGCCTTTTTAAAAAGAACTGAATGTTGGGTACTCAGCAGAATGTGAGAATGAATTAATAAGTTAAGTGATGAAAGGGAAAATATTGCAATATTCTACTGTGGAGTGAAGATAAAGACCGGAAGTCTTAAGAGAGCCAGTCTTAGTTCCTGCAGATTCAAGGGAGACTTCTCGTGTACTGTGCTGACATTGGCAGTAGGTCTGTGCCATGTCTCAGATCATTCAGAGTGTGGGGAGCTGGCTCCGTGCTCCAGTGGCTGAGCTATGTTAGCTTTTGATTCTGTATTTATGCTGGAATTACCCTCTTTCTCCTCTGTGGTCTTCTTCCCCTTCCCTTTCTTCCCCTTTCTCCCCTTTCTAGGAATTAATTAGTCAAATGCTTCAGGTAAATGTTGAAGCTCGCTGCACTGCAGGAGAAATTCTGAGTCACCCCTGGGTGTCTGTAAGTACCCACATTCCAGGGAATGAATGAATTTGTGTTGTGTGGTCAGCATGCTTCCTTGCCATGTGTTTTGCACGGACGTAGATGAGCATTTAACTTCTATAGCAGATGAAATGTCTGTTTTAATGATTATGCAGCTGAGGGAAGGTGACTGGTACCAGAGCCCCCCCACCCCCCATCTGTGTCCGTCTTTCTGTGGTCTGGAAGGAGAAGACAGTCTCTTCCAGAGGTGGCAGAGATGTGGTGCTCATCACATGTCCCCTCAGGGCAAACATGGTGAACTTGAGGGCAACTCATTTGTGCCTTGAGCATGTAGCATGGTCTCAAGAAATGGGTCAAACATTAGGCTCAAGGCACATTCCCTCTTCAGCCTGCCATGTAACCGGAGCAAGGCATTTAATCAAATTCTTGATTAAAATAATACACTGTTAGTTTTTATATTTCCATGGGACGACTTGTGTTAGATTTGCACTGGAAGAGGAATGCCATTGTTGACTGCTTCAAAGGTGGAGGAGATGGCATAATATCTCTCTGAAGGCTTGAGGCGCATTGCCACGTGGAGTAACAGTACAGGATTTTGTGTGTCTCTGCCACACTGAGGATGGAGCTCTGTACAGGGGCAACAATTACTTTCAAAAGAACTGAACTCCCGTTCTTACTAAGAGGAGCCTGTTCAGGAAGACAGCCTTAGGTTGATGGTGGGGGGAGGGTGGTAGCTGTTGAAGAACAGTTGGAGTGTTAAGGATCCAGCGTCAACTCTATTTGGGTTTCTCCCCCTCTGTAGGATGACGCATCCCAGGAGAATAATATGCAAGCTGAGGTCACAGGTAAACTAAAACAGCACTTTAATAATGCGCTCCCCAAACAGAACAGCACCACCACGGGGGTCTCTGTTATCATGGTAAGTGGGACACAGAGCTCTGCCTGGGGAGTTGGGGGCATCTGACCTGGCTGCTCAGCGGGAGTTGTTGTCTGAGCTAGGTAGTTGGGGTTCTGCTCATGGAAGCTGGTGTCTTCCATGTTCCTGTTTTCATGGGAGGATGGACTGGCATGTGAAGGGTGCTTTCGAGGACTCCTGGACTCCGCATGGCAGGGCAGAGGCTGGTAGGTGGCAGGGAAGCCACAGTGGTAGGTGGTGCAAGGGAGCTCCCGGATATGGGGCTTCCAGGGTGTGGCTTCCCCCTCATACCTGCTTTACATCTAGGGAGAAATCACCAGCCAGCCCTGGCAGGATGCATGCACCCTGCAAGGCAGTAAGGCCCTGCTTCCTCCAGGCTTATGACCCAATTTTTGTACTTCTTCCAAAATACTTAAGGCCACATATCTAAGCATTTAAGCACAGAAAATGAAAAGTAACATTAAGGGAAAACAAAAGAAAATATAGGAAAGAAAAATAAAACACAAGCGAGGTCATTAATTTCAGCTCTGGCTGCCGAGGCTTGAGCTGTTGAGAAGTAGGGCTGGGAGTGGCTCTGAGCATCTCCCACCTGCTGCTCAGCTAGGGCATCTCCAGCAGCAGCCCTGCTGTCCTCCTACCCGCTCACAGCAGACAGCAGGGCCAGGGGCATAGACACCAGAGTCACCCTCTCCGGAGGGGCTGGTGCCTGCAGTGGGCCTTCTCAGCAGAACAGCCTCTTGCCACCCGGGGAAAGGTTCTCTGTATTCCCACACTACAGGGAAATGGGCTTGTTCTCACTGCTCCATGCAGTCTAGGAACGTCAGGGAAACATGTCCAGGAAGGCACACCCTGCATGTACCCCTTACAGACATGACCGGAAGGCACACCCTGCATGTACCCCTTACAGACATGACCGGAAGGCACACACTGCATGTACCCCTTACAGACATGACTACTCTGCAGTTGGTTAAGCACCTCTTACATGCTGTTCCTTTCCTCCAGGGAGGCTAAGTTCATTTGGTAGGCCCCTTCCATTGTCCTTGCAGCTTCCTATGTGCCATGCTGGGAATTGTGTGCTCCGTCTTCCCGTGCACAGCTCGAGTCTACAAACTAGACTTTGTGCCATCTCGCAGGATGGAAAGAGTGGAGTTACGGTTTTTCTTTCCACTACATTGCTATTTTACTGAAAACCTGAGAAAGTCTGAGATGTCACAGAATTCTGGCTTCACTGAGTTGAAAAAAACCATCACTGATGAGCTGGCAACAAGAGGACCCTTCCCAGGGATTGTATTTTTAGTCCTATCCCATGAGCAGAATCAGTGTGCATCTGTGCCATGCATGGTGGTGTAGGCAGCTTCTGTGGAAATGGAAAAAGAAAACCATTCAGAGTCAGCATTTGTGCTAGGGGTGCAGTTAGTGGTGCCCAGTGTGTGTGATCTTAGCATGTGTGTAGGCCCCAACGATCTCCCAAAATATACAATTTCAGCATATGGTAGAGAATCTTTAAAAGAATTTGTTGGAATCAAAATTTCATATCATATGTTAATTAGCTTTCTAATCTTCTAAGATGTGTGAGCCTTGCAGCCCTGTAGGAAAATTTATACAGTGGGTCACTCGAATCATTGGCCATAGGCCTGGGCCCTGCCTTCTGACCACTGAAGCTCAGTTGAGGTTCTAGAATGATTGACAGTCCTCCCTAGGACTAAGTGTAAGCTGTGTTCTGGATGATAATGCAGAGAACGTCTTAGCACTTGCAGATAGCAGTTTCCCTCTTGCTAATGGAGTTAGTCAGGCTATAATGGGGTGTCCTGTGAAAGAACAACCCTGGGAAGGTGACTGTATAACAGTTGTGTGTGACGTAGGCAGGAGCACTTGGCGCATGCTGGCGACATCCAGCTAACCCAGGTTCTCTGCAGATTGTGAGCACCGAGGAGCTGCTGATGGTATCATTGCATTCAGAGTCTACTGGAGATATTGCTGGGATTTTTTTTTTTTTTCTGGTATCTCTGTTCTCGGTGGTTCAAAAGCCAGCCTGCCAAATTTGACTTGTTCCCAAAAGTAGCTGAAGGCTTCTTGTTTGTCCTTCCCCCAGTCAGGGCTGGGCCTGGGCCTAGGTGTGGTTGCAGGGTAGGGTGTGTGTGTCACATCCGGGCCCTCCATCATAGAACGAGTGTACCTTGAGGCATCCCTGAGGACAGTTAAATTATTTTTATATTTAAACTACCAGAGAATGCCTGTCTCTGGCATTAATTTGCCGTCACTGAATATGCAGTCTCAGTAGCAGAAGAGCGGTGTTTTATGGCTGAATTGTTAGTGACCTCTGTGCATAACTTAAAGAGGGGGGCCTTCTTGTGTGTGTCACCCCAGCATTCTCCCCAAAGTAGATACCCGAAGTTCCAGTGAAAATATGAGAAGGTAGGGACTGATCATAAAGGAGAAAGAAACCAAAGTTGATGCTTTGTCTACATTTCATTTGACAGTTTGATTTGACAGTCTGAGAGACACCTCAGAGTTCCGTTCTTTCCCCAGTTGAGGCTGTGGGAATTCCCGAAGCAGATCCTGGTATTCAACACTGTGCCCGTGGGAGCCACACCTAATTCTCAGCCCCTCTTCTAGCTGCATGCTTGTCTCAGACTTTTGACCCTCAGCTTCCTGCTGGAATGGGTCCTCTGAACCACTGACTTCCTTCTGGCCAGCCCAGCCCAGCATGCTTTGGGGAGCTTTGTGTTAGCCTTCTCAGCTTGTCAGTCTGCTTTCCTGCTCAGAGTGTGGGGTTCAGCCATTCTGTGCCCTGCTGCCGTTTACATAGGTGAAGCAGGGATGAGTGTCTTCGTGAGGTTTTTGTGCTTGTTGAGAGCTGCGTTTATCGGTAAGACAGTGTGTGCCAGCCAGCCTGCAGGATAAGAACAAGATCGTACTGGAGAGAGACTCAGAGAGGCGGATGGCGCCGACAGTCCTCAGCACACTGATGGACAGTGGGAGGTGGCTTCTTTGTCCAAGTGAGGGACAAAGCCTCAGAGAACAGACGGGGCCATCTTGTGGCAGAGAAGGGAATGACAAGACACCTCCTACCGTGGTCTCGCAGAGGGAGAGAAGTCAGACGGAGTACACTCTTTCCACCCCAGGGGGCGCAAAGCTTGCTTTCAGGAACATTGGGGTGATGGTAGGGATTTGGGGTTACTCCCGACTTAAGGCAGACAAGACTATTTGAATCGTGTTGCTTCTGTTGAAAGTAAGTCTAGTTTCTGTCCCTGCTTCTCTCCCGCTGCTGCATTGCTTCCCCTGCCTAGGTCCAAGGCCATGGTATGTACTCACTGCACCGCCAGCTTCCCTCTGCCTGCATGCTCACGTTCTCTCGGCCAGAAGAGAAGAGGGGGAATAGCTAGGGGTTGTGACTTTCTTCCAGCCAGGAGAAAGTGTGATAGAAGTTAAGCGCTGCCTGTCTGGTAGGTGACGGTGGGGCGGAGTGGCCGGCCTGATCCCAGCAGCTCAGGAGCCAAGTTCCAGGCCAGACTTTACCCACTTATCCAGTTAACTGACACAGTCCTCGGAAGGTAGTGATGGCTCAGCTTGAGGTTGGCAGGAGCCGTGAGGGACCCAGCCCAGAGCCTTGCCACTTGCTCTGGGGACTGCAAAATGCCTACCGGTCCTTTCGTCTTACAGATGAGGATAGTACCCAAGACCACCTGCAGTCTCTCCACCTTTAGTAAACACAGTAACATGGCAGTTGCTGGCTCCCAGGGCCCCCAGTCTCTAGTGAGGCAAAGAAGATTGCATGCCTGGGTATCCCCAGGATGGTTCAGAAGGAAGTGTTTTCCTCATGGAGCCTCCCATCCCTTGAGAGGGTTAGTGGATGAGCCAGCAGGTGCAGGCCCCCTCATAGGGAGACACCATGGAGGATCCCCAGTGGATTCCTGGGCATATTACAGATGCCTGATGGTTGTAAAGGTATTTATTTCTGACATGTAAGGGCCATATATCTGACAAGAACTTCCTGTCATAAGTGTACTACAGCAGCTGGCAGAGACTCCTGGGTATGGGTGTGGGCAAGACAGAATCAGCTGCAGCTCACAGCCAGGACCCTTGAGGCCACCTCCTGCAGGCCAGTGTCCAGCTACCAGCAAGGTCGTGATAAGGGCAGAGGCAAAGGGCAGGTGGGGTGGGGTAGGGGTGGGAGTGAGGCTCAGTTCCCATTAGACTTAAGGCCTGGTGTATTCCTCCTCTTCTGTTCTGTGTCCTGTGCATGCCGAGTCCTGCTTCTGGTTCTGCCTGTGTTATGGAGCCTGGCCTGGGTCATGTGTTATCTCTGCTGCTCTCTCCCCAGAACACGGCTCTAGATAAAGAGGGGCAGATTTTCTGCAGCAAGCACTGTCAAGACAGCAGCAGACCTGCGAGGGAGCAGAGCTCGCCAGTCCCTTCCTCAGGCCAGGAGGCCCCTCCCCCACCGGAGTCTCCCAAGCCCTCTAGCCCCCCAGCCACCTCTGGCTGTGATCTGGCAGGGACCTGGCGCCGCCACCGAGACTGAACTCTGTGTAGACAGGCCCACGCTGCGCTCTTCCACCAGGCCTCACCGGCTCCTTTCTGAAAGAGCCTGTCTCTCCTGACTGCTGCTTTGACAGATTGTTGGCATATTCTATCACTGCCCGGGAACAGGACTGGGGCATCAGGAGCCAGTATTCAGCATGGTCTCATGTACTTGGGGCTCTGCCCGCTCGAGTTCCTGGCCATGTCAAGCCATGTCAGTTGTGGAGACATACTGAAAATGAGCGACTTATTTTAAATCATCCATGTTTCTAGTTGAGTAGACAGTTGGCTGCTTTACCCAGCGAATGTGCAACTTTTATCTGGAATTACATTCTTTTTATAGAGATTCACTGGATGAACGAAGATTCTCCTATTGAAGGATTCTCCAAGTGCTCCCTTCTCACAGAGGGCACAGCTATGGTTGTTTCTTTGTATCCTGTGAGACACAATATGGCCTCTTCCTCTTCATAGGGGGCCTGAGGCTCCCGGCTTCTGAACAGAAGAAATGAGTACCCAAGAGGTACTCCTGACTTAAGGAATGCACTGACGCCCCAGAAAGCAGCTCCCCTCTGACTGGGGCGCAGGGCTCACAGACCTACATGCCCTCAGTTTCCCCTAACTTTCCCTATGCGTACTAAGAAGTACTCATGAAGGTGGCCTGTGGCTTATCAGTGGGATGTGCGGCAGCTCTTGGCAGAGCAGGATCAGCTCGGCTGCATCATTGCTGGGGCTTCCTCCACCTCTGAGAGCAAGAGCAGCAGAATGCCAGGCAGGTCTGCTGAGACCCAGCGGGGACTGGGGTGCATGGTGCTCCTTGAATGTCCTGTGACCAACCCTCCGGAAGGCTGCTGGCAGTTTTTCCTTTTTTCCATCACCTACTCTTTTTAATAATTGTATATAACTGTGTATTTGTTTTACCTGCTTGTCTTCTAAATGGGTGGGCCCTACAGTTCACTCTCGTTGTTATTCTCCAAGTCTCCCCAACCTGCAATAAATCCTTCCCTCTTCGGAAAGCCATGGGGTGGGCAGAGGTTTTGTATGGTTGTTTCAGAAAGTGCATGGCACCTCTCCTTGGTCCAGGCCCTTAGGGGCCAGTGTCTGGGGCCACTACCAGAAGAGTGCACAGATCTTTGCCTTGGCTGATGTGTATGTGATCACAGGTGCTGGGGCTCGTGACCAAAACACCAAAATAAGGAAGTTGTTTAGAGATGAGCTAGGGACAATAATGGGAAAGCTGGGGCTCATAGAAAGTGGGCTGGAAGAGCTCTTCCCATGCCAGCCCTGGCTGGGACTCTGCTTTTCTCTTGTAAGTTCCAGATTTTCTTGTTAAGCTCTGCTTTCTGCTTGTGACTCTGCTCATCTGTCTGTCATCTACTTGGAGCTTTACAAATGTCAGCTTGAAACCCCTGGCCAGGCTCTGCATCTCTCGGTTCACACTGCTGAGGGATTGAGACAGCTGACCTGCTGACCCTGGGTCCGACCCAGCCCAGAGCTGTAGCAGACACAGGAGGAAGAAGTGATCAGAAACACTGTGAGGTGCGGGGTTAGAACACTTCATGTGTCTCTCTACTAACTGGTTAAAAAGTGAGCTTTAAAAACAGATTTATTCTAGATTATGTGTATGCCTGTCTGTGCGGATGCAAATGCATTGTCCATGGGAGTCCAGAGGAAGGCAGTGAATCTGGACAGTTGTGAGCTGCCAGACATGGGTGCTGGGAATCAACATCTGGTCCTCTGGAAGAACAGTAAGTGCTTTTAACCTCTGAGACATCTCTCCAGCACCCAAAACAAGATTTTTCATAGCCTGTGGCTGTGTCATTTTCAGAGGGGAAGAGTTAATGCAGAAGGAGGAGAGACAGGACAGGGGGTGGTGGGACAGGGTGTCTGTGCTCACACCATAGCTGCCTCCCTCTCCTCAGCTGCGGTGCTCCTAATGCAAGCTAAAGACTGTGAGCCAGGGCAGTACTCACGGTGACAGCATGTGTCCTTCTGACCGTCCCTGTGGGAGGCAGACAGGTGGTGAAGCCTCACAGTCTTTCCCTCCGGAACAGAGAGAACACAGGTAAAGTAACAAGCCCCTAGGTGGTCCTGGCTAGTCAGAGGGGTGGATGTCTGCAGCTGTGCCCCACTGCGGGGTGGTGTCCATCCAGGCAGTAAAGCTGGAGAATCCCGCACAAAGGTTTGAGACACGGTTCCTCTGTCCATTTGCTGCACAAACACTTAGAAGCTGTGATTCTATTCTCAAGCTCCAAATTAAATACAGGTACTTTATTTTCGGCTGCTCAGATCCTGTTGAGAGAATGGTACATGCCTGTTCAGTCTCATTCTCCCTGAGGAGGGAATCAGTGTGAAGAGACTGAAACGTGGAATATGGCAGAGAATACAAGTGGACAGACACCGTGGGAAGTGGGTGCCTGATGTCCTCCATCATGGTGTGGGTGCCTGATGTCCTCCACCATGGTGTGGGTGCCTGATGTCCTCCACCATGGTGTGGGTGCCTGATGTCCTCCATCATGGTGTGGGTGCCTGATGTCCTCCACCATGGTGTGGGTGCCTGATGTCCTCCACCATGGTGTGGGTGCCTGATGTCCTCCACCATGGTGTGGGTGCCTGATGTTCTCCACAGCTGAGGAGTCTCCCGCCCCTTTCTGTCTTTGCCTCCTTTTGCAAAACGTGGTGGACATAGAAGTGTTTGTTCCATGTGTTCATTAAATGCCTTTGGTAAAACTCCCAGCATCTCATCGTGGCTAAGATGGTAATATGTGACTTAGGAGATGGGACAGTGTGGGGTGGAGTAACCATGTTGAAAAAAAAAAAAAAAAGACTGTGTTGTGGAAAATGCTAAAGCAGTTTACCATCCCGTGGAAATATATAATATTTACCACTTGCGTTAACATTAAAACATTTAAAAGGAACAGGTAAAGTACATCTTGTGGCATATCTTATTTACCCTAACATCTAAACATGTCCAAAGTGCTATTTCAGCATGTAGGCAGCATCACTAAGAACTGGGTGATACTTCCACCTTCTTGTGTGGTGTGAGTCTGAGGTCTAGAGTGTGTACGGTCACAGTACATCCCAGTCTGAAGTCACATGGGCCTAGCAGTTGCCACACTACAGTTCAGATAAGCCATGGCTCTTAATATTAGTTCTACGTGAATCCATTTTTGTTGGCACATGATGTGCGTGGCAGGTAAAAGGGCCCTGTCATTTTAAGTGTTCATGAGAAGTGACGGCAGGAGGTTAAAGCTCTGTGATGTGAAATTAAATGTATACTCTTAACTCTGTGACATGTCCTAGGCTGCTTACCGAGTAATCTTCACCTGCCACCCCGGGAAAGTGTGCAAGGCCTGGGCACACTAGCTGGGAGGTCAGGGCACTTCTACAGGTGAGAGCATGTGAGGGCTTCCAGGCTTCGGCACCCAAGGATTGCCAGGAAAATCAGACAGACCCTGAGGTGCTAGAACTCAAGGCACACGGCTTGGTGTCCTGCTGCTACAGGAACTGTTCTTTGCAGGCTTCAGACGTGTTTTTTTCCCTGGATTTGAGTCTGAGGTTGATGCACAAGAACTACAAATGAGTCGGATTCCAGTGTGGAGATCAAGACCTGCTTACTGAAGGGTTCAGACTCCCGGAAGTGCCTAGATGGCAGGTGACAGTCACACAGGTACACAGTACGCCGTGTTTTCAACCTTACTGGAGCACTGCATATCCAAGGGGAAGCAAAGCATGGAGGCCCTCACCTTTGCCATGCTCTTAAACAGAAGCCCTTTCTTGGTGGTGGGGCTGGGCCTCTGCTTCGCAGGCCTCCCGTGGGACAGCGGTCAGTCAGGATGTCTTCATCTGCATGGACTGATCTGGGAAGCTTGATTGGCAGCCTGTGGAGGCAAAAGCTGAATCTGGGTTAAAGTGCTCCAAGTCCAAAGCTGTGGGGCAGCCGCCTCTTCCTGCAGGCCCTGTCCAACTGCCCAGAAGCTTAGTTTGGGCAAGGATCTGCTTCATGTTGCACACATGTGATCATGAAGACTGGAAGTGGCTTCTGGGGTGTCATCTTCCCTGACCGGAGAAGCAAGACTATCTGTCTCAGAGGCTGTGGCCTGCCCGAAAGCCAAGACACCCTGTGTTCAAGACAAGAGCCTGATGTGCTGCGTTTCTGGTTTGTGGGAGCCAGGGGCGGGGTGAGGATCACTGTGAAGATGCTCGTAAGGTAGCAGACACCTACAGCCCCAGCACAAACCCAGGAGCTCGACAGTAGTCTCGGCAACATAGCAAGAGTGGCCTCAGATTTCAGTTTAGTTTTGGGTTTTAACTTATTTTTGAGACAAGGTTTTTATGTGTAGTCCTGGCACTCAGAAGTCTGCCTGCTTCCATGGCCATGATGCATGGCTAGCTCTGAGTTTTTAAATAATGATTTTATGCTTACAGGAACCAAGAAACACGCCAATGGACTCATTTTGTTTGTTTTTCAAGACAGGGTTTCTCTGTAGTCTTTGGAGCCTGCCCTGGAACTCGCTCTGTAGACCAGGCTGGCCTCGAACTCACAGAGATCTGCCTGCCTCAGCCTCCTGAGTGCTGGGATTAAAGGTGTGCACCACCACCGCTGCCTAGCTCCAGGAGGCCATGTCCTGCTGGACACGATGCAGTTGCTTTTCTTCTATCTTACTCCCCATTATTTCCAAAGTGAATGCTCACTGCTGTTAACCTCTAGCTGGTAACTCAGCATTTATTGTTTTTCTTCATGGTTTGTGAGATGCTGGTGAGTCTCAGGGGCCTTTGGTTGTGGAAGTCCCAGTAAGACACAGAGATTGGGTACGAGACAGTGTTCTTGTTTCATGTCAGGGGAGTCTCTTTAGTTGGTTACTACTCCAAACACTAGCAGAACCAGTGTGGCATCTTCTTTGTAAATAGCTATCCTGTCCATGTTAGGTGAAAAAGACGTTTCCAACAACTTAAACACAAATTTGTCTTAGGGCATCAAAATGTATAGGGAGAAGAGAAGTCCAGGGAAACTGCACAAGAAGCAAAGACAGAATTCAGTTTCAACTTAAAGTTCACAACGTACAAAGAATTTATTTATGTAATACAGACCTTTTCTCAAATATTTTCACAGAATCTACTAGAAAAAAGTAGAATTATATGACACCAAAATAACATTGTTTCTTAGTATAAATTGCTAATCAAAAGGAAGGTAGAGATAGTTTCATAGCAAATAGAGGATAGCACAGTCCCTGGCAGCCCCTGATCTCGTGCCAGGAAGGTGGGGGTTGAGGTGGTGAGGGAGTGGCCCCACCTGGCTCTGCCTCACTGCAGGGCATTGACCTCGGGCAGGCTTTGGTACTTACTCAGAAAACTGGTTGTAAGCCCAAGATGGTTTCCATCCTTTCCCCTTGTGCCATGAGGACGCCAGACCAGGAAGAAGCAGTGAGTATTGTATGATTGCTATAACTTAGATCTTTGCTGTTTACCAGACAGTAAAATAAAATAGCCTTCCCCAAACCATAATTTCCTAGGTCTAACACATGCTTGAAGAAGAATATAGAAATAATTCACTGAGATGTTTTAAATTACATTTGTCATAATTTAAACAGTACTATTAAAATCCTAGAAATTTCAGCACTGAAGAAGCACAATTGTCTAGAAAAATACAGGACCCCAGTACAGAAAACTCCCTGTCCCAGCATCAGAACCCATTTCCCTATTGCTAAAATCATATTTCTCAAGATTACAGATAAATGGGAAATGGTTTCCACAACATCATTAGCGTTGGTGGGATTGTGGCTCCACCATCTGAATCCATAATTGGTGAAAATAGACTTTTCATTATGACTAAAAATATAGATTTTTCTTAAACTACAGAAACCAGCAGCCAGTTTTCTGCTTTGCTGTTTCCCACCCCCCAAAATGTCAAGCAAAGTCTACAAAAATAGCAATTAACTTTTAAAAATATTTTGCTTGTTCAAGCAAATTTAAGTTACATTCAGATGTGATAGCTATTTCTATAGAATGATGTTCAGAGTTCTTCCTTGATCAGCGTGTAACAGGACCAAGGTGCATTTGTCTCCATCAGTATCTGGTTTGGTACTCATGATGCCAGCGGTTAAAGTCGTTGTAAAACAGAACAATGCTTCCTGAAGCCATGCCGGAAATGATGCACCTGGGGGGAGGATGGAAATGGGGTCACAGGGCTGTATTTTCTGCTGTGACTGAAATGTAGACAAAGTAACCTCGGTGTATGGGGCACTGCTCTGTGAAAGGGAAGATACCATTGTAGTATGTAGAGACTGTCACTGAACTGTGAACCAGATCATTTCCACAGAGCTGGAAACCACGCTTCCTGCACAATCAGAAGGAAAACCCGCAGAGCAGGTGCCACTGGAGGGAGCACGCACATTCCAGGACCAGAGCTAGTGCTTCTGACAACGCAGAATTTAAGAGTAAGAGAGCGGATTGCTGCCCAATTTGGGGGGCGGGAACCCTAACCTCTGGGTAAGCACCTGTTCCTTTTAACCCAGTGACCTGATGTGGTGATTGCTGAGACAGGAGCTGCTGGCCCCCCTGTCCTGAGAAGGTGGTTCTGCTACTTGAGCCCTTTCCCTGCAGAGTTTGGTCAGGGCCAGTTCTTAGCACATTGCATTCATTGCCTTCCTGTAATTCTTACTGAAATTGGAAATTACAATCTATCACTACAGAAGGGAAAATGAGGGGCAAACTTTCAGCAAAACCGAACCAATCAGCAAATAACAAGTTCTACAGCCAGTCATTACACGTAAAGAGATTGATTAAACCGGCCAAATGGATTAAAAGCGATAACCCAAGTATATGTGGTATACAGGACATTCATTTTAGAAAAACAAATGGATTGAACAAACGGGCAAGCAGTAATATTAAGAGTTTAAGAGGCCCTGATGTCAGGAGGCCTTAAGACAAAAGCACCATGGCAAGAGACAATGCTATATGTTACTATGTTATATATGTTACTAAATGTTACTATAACACACTAAGCACCTGAGCCCCAAGAATGTTACACAAGAGGGAAGGGAGAAATGCATGATCAGCCAGTCAGTTGCAGGTTTTAATACCCTATACTGAAAAACATAAAGAATAACCAGACAAATGGATAAGAACCTCAAAATACCACAAGCCACACAGACTAAACACAAAGACTGAACACAAAGCCAGCAAGAGCAAAATACACTTGTTTCGCCAGTGCACATGGAACAATCTCTGGGATAAAGCTTGGATCAAGATTTAATGTGAAATCATGCAAAGTGTCTTTTATACTCATAACAGAATTAACCAGAAGTGAGTAACAAAATGAAAATTGTAAAATACATACACATGAGCAGTAACAATTGTATCTCAAACAAACAGAAACCACACTAATACAGGACAGCAAGGGCGGAGAGGAGAGGAAGGGGTGTAGGTACAAACACATTAGAAAGCAAACAATATTACTGACCTAACTTTAGACCTTAATGACCTAGAAAAAGAGTAAACTAAACCCAAACTAGAACATTTTAAGAAAATAGCAAGAAATCAAACTAGGCTCCTCAAGAGATCTGGAGAATTGATACAAATTGAGCTAAAGGTAACGAGAGATTATGAACAATTGTGCACCCAGCAAATTCTGTAGCTCAGATGAGGTTGAAAGATGCTCACTTAGTAAAGGAAAGCTGTAGGCCATGTGGTGGAGTGATCCTACTACAAATTTAAAGAAAATTATCACAATTGTTTCCAAATTGCCCCCCCAAAAAATTGAGTGGGTAGGAACACTTCTGGTATTTATCATTTTGCTGATACCAAAGCCCAAAACAGACAACACTAAACAATATTACACACCAGTATT